CATTTAGGATCTATATCATCGATCCGGATTGATGTCAAGTCATTGAAAGCAGTGTGCTCGTTGTTTCTGTGGCAGGCTCGCCATGCTCAAGTGCTGAAAGACCAGCAAGAGGAGCAGATGAGACGGGAGCAAGAGGCTCTTTTCAGTGTACCCAACATACAGAACCGGATGTTTCAGGACTGGAGCGTGTTCCAAAATATCCAAAATCACAAGCATGCACAAGCCAGACTCATGTGTGTTTTCTTCCAAACATATCCAAAGACTGGGAAAAAACGGTTGAAAAAAAATGTGGATCGAAATCCGCCCACACCGCTTTGGCGGTGAAGGCGTGCTTATTGGAGGGAGATAGCCACACTAAATGCTCAATGACATTTGTTAATATAGCAGTCGCTATATCAGCTTTAGCTGGGGGTGGGCAAAAATGGTTTCGCACCGAGACCAGAATTAGGTGGTGTTTTCGAGATGTTTCGACGATTTTTGGGTGTCTGAACTTAAGAGGGTATTGAAATGGAATTTTGGGTCATTTTGGTAGGCTTCCGGCAATGGAAAAACGGCCAAAAATGAAAAAACATTGTAAATTACCATATTCACCCCGCTTCGCGTGGGGTACCCGCCCACACCGCAGAATATTTTCCGGTTCGAGTTTTCAAGACATAGCACTAAAGCATGCTACCCAAACGGGGTCTAAAATTGTATACCGTTTCAGAGCCAACTCATGGCCAAAATTCACAGAAATTTTGCGCAAAAAATCGATCCAAAATCCCCAAAAATCGATCCAAAGTCGCCAAAAATCGATCCAAAATCGCCAAAAATCGATCCAAAATCGGCTCAAAAATCGAAAAATTAGAAATCACAAATCAGAACTACCAAAAACACCGTTTTTAATCAATTTTTTGCCAAATCCCTACCCTCCTGAAGGATCCAAAATGTGTCGGTGCATCTCAAAAAAAGGCCCCCCCCCCCCCCAGCAAGCTGATTTATAGCGGGACTATAATTTTGGAGGATTCCTCTGGCTGTTGCAACTTTAAGGCACGCCCTTCACCGCCGAAGCGGTGTGGGCGGATTTGGAAAGGTTTTTGGATGCCAGAGCATTGAAAACACTGCAAAAACTAATGCGTTGGACCGACTTTATGGCGAAAAAATGTGTAAATTACCGTGTTTTTG